CTCGTCATTAATTGATTCAAAGAAAGGTGACAGTAACCAAGGCAGGCCGCCCTTAGTTATTGTGCAGAGGTGAAGGAAGTCCATCTTGACTCCGATAGGCAGTTAGTCTATGCACTGCTTACCATTATATAGCGTTGGCTAGCTGCAACCGCATTAATATTCATCCCATTATCATCAGCCTCTTTTTAAAGCTAGCAACAGCAATCTTTAAGTGCAGTTCTAAATTCTACAGCTTGATTATATGCTGAACAGTGAAATACTTCCTATAATTTGCTCTAAGCGCCCTCCTTAATTTCAGTAGTCTCTCATTCTTATTGTTAACTAAAAGCGAACGTCGTCACCACCCAATTCTGATGGACATGAAAGATCTTATAGGACCTGTAGTCCATTTGACCTGAAAGAGGATATGGTGGGAAGAAAGAGCCCTACCATTTTATTTGAAAAGATAAATATATTGAAATGGAGCCTTAAGTACACATAGGAGTGTTGAGTAGGCAGTTGCAGAGTTCTAGCGGGCAGTTAGTTAGATAATTAACAAAAGAGGAGGGAAGGGATGGAGCAGTCACCCTGGGGAGTAACTAGCATATTTCAGCCCAATGGAGCAAAACATCCCGCCCGTCGTCAACTAGGCAGGAAAGATAGCTTTACGGCCACAGCCATGAGGGTGGGGGCCAGGTTGGAGGGTGGGGGAGGTAGATGTTGGTGGTGTGTGTGACCAGCATGTTCTGTGGGATTAATGTGGGAGGGAGAAAACGGTGAGGGGCTTTTCCTTTTACTGAGTGCATGTGCAGTAGGAGCCACAATGGGGACCATAAAAGGGGGCGGGCACAAGTGGGAAAAAGATCGGACAGGGGAGGGGCACAAGCCTCAGAAAATCCAGGAAAGAGAATGGATGGAGAGGGCATGAACACAAGCCGGGAGAAGCCGGGAAGGAGGTCGGAGAGTTTGAAAGAAAGCCTGCTCGTTCCCAAGCCCAAGGAAATATTAAAAAGTCTGACCACAGAGGTCATGGGTTCGATTCCTGGTCAGGGCTCATGCCTAGGTTGCTGGCTCCATCCCCAGTGTGGGGTGTGCAGGAAGCAACTGATGCATGATTCTCTCTCATCATTGATATTTCTCTCTCTCTTTCCCCTCTCCCTTCCTCTCTGAAATCAATAGAAATATATTACAAACAACAACAACAACAACAAAACCCATTTCCTTCAATCTGACAAAAGCCAGTATTCTCAACCATGAGGCCTCAGGCCTGTTGTCAGTGTTTTCCCACGCAGGGTAGGACTTTCTCCTTTTGAGGATCATTTAACCTGTCTTACATCACCCCCCATGCACGCCCTTTCATTTTTCCTCTTCCACTTCGTTGTGCTTCAGTCTCCGCTTTGGTGTAGACTTCAGATTTGGTTCTGCGGGATTAACCTGTTTATTTCTGTACTTAAGTGTAATTTCAAGTTTGTAATATCACATGTTTCTTGATTAGCTTGTAAGTATGGCTTATAGGTGGCATTATTTGGCATTGTAATTGGGATTGTTTTTATTTAGGTGGTTGCCATTATTTTATAGGAATGTGGATTCCTGTCATTGTCATTTTTTAAAGACAGGCTTATTGAGGTATAACTTACATACAATAAAATTCACCCTTTTAAATATGCAATTCTATTAATTTTGCCAAACACACTTAATTATGCAACCACCATCACAATCAAAACAGAATACTGCCATTATCCCAAAATGTCCCCACTTGCCCATTTATAATCAAGGCCCACAGTCCTCGTCCAGTCTCTGATCTACTTTCTAGTCGTAGATCGTCTTGTCCAATATGTCATGAAAGTGATAAATATGGTAGCTAGCCTGTCTCACTTCTTTTATTAGGCACAATATGATCTCCTGTTTCACTTCTTTTATTTAGCGTAATGTGTTTGAGATTCATCCGTACGTTTCTAACATCCATAATGTTAGAGACCATGGCAGAGTGTATTATAAAAGTATAGGCATAACCAATGGACACAGACATCAGGGGGTGAGGGCATCAACGGGGGTGGGGGGGTGGGGTGGGGGTGGAGAGGTGGGGGGGGTGGCAATGGGGGGATAAAGACACACATGTAATACCGTAATCAATCAATAAATAAAAATAATGAAATACTTTAAAGCAGACACAAGAAGCTCAGAGGATTCCAAGCAGCATTTTAAAAAAGCAAACATCTTTACATATTATATTCAAACCTCTGAAAAACACAGATAGAGAGGGAATCATGAAGGAAGGCAGAAAAAGAAAAGACATAAAGACATTACATACAAGGAATGAATATAAGAGTTACAGTAGACTTCTCATCAGAAATCATGTAGAACAAGAGACGAATGACTATCAAGTGAGAGTCGTCAACTCAGAATTCTCAATGAAAATATGTTTTACATATGAAGACAAAGTATGATATTTTTAACAAATATGAGTGTATAGACTTTTTTGAAAACAGACTACATTACAAAAAAAAGGCTATAGTAAGTTTTTCAGGAAGAAAGAATATGATACCAGATAGAAACTCAGAACTATACCAAGAAATAAAAGCATCAGAAATTGTTGAACTGAAGGTAAATATAAGAGCCTAAGTCAAAAATACTAGCAATATGATTTATGTTTATAGTAAATGTAAAAGAAAAATTTATGTGGTAACAATGTGAAAAAAATATGAGGGAGTAATTGGAAACATACTGTTGTAAAGGTTTTATACTGTAAGTATGACTGTATAATATTATTTGAGAGTGGACAGTAATAAATTGAAGATGTGTATTATAAATTCAGCATAGGCATTATAAAATTTTAAAAATATGTATAAAAACAAGTCAATTAGTAGATAAAATACTAGCATAAAAAAATCAAGCAATCCAAAACAGGAAAAAAGAGAGGAAAAAAGGAACAAAGAACAGGTGGAACAAATAGAAAACAATAGCAAAATTTTTAATCCAGCCAAATAAATAATTATATTAAATGTAAATGCTCTAAATACACCAACTCAAAGAGATCATCATGTTAGATAAAAGAGTATGGCACAACTATACAGTTTCTATAAGAAACTCACTTTAAAAATAAAGACACAGATAGGTTAAAAGTAGAAGAATGGAAAATGGTAACCTATGCCAGCAGTGTCTGAGAATTCTAGTTTATGCATGTCTTTGTCAACACTTGGTATTTCCTGTTTTTCATTTGAACTATTCTGGTGGGTGTGTGGTGGCATTACATTGTGCTTTTATGTTGTATTTCCTTGATGAAGTTGAGCACCTTTTCATATTCTATTAGCCATTGGATATCTTCTTTTGTGAGTAATCTGGTAAATGTGTGTGTGTGTGTGTGTGTGTGTGTGTGCCCGTTTTCAATTGTGTTATTTTTTCTTATTGACTTGTAGTTCTTCCTATCTGTTGTTTATTGTCTCTAGTGACCTTTACTTATAGTGGTTGCTTCTTGGGTACTTGGTGATCTTTGATTGTAAACTCATTGTTTGATCTTTCTCTGTGGGAGGCCTATGAGCCTAAATAACCTTAAACTTTCCTTCAGAGAGGATTTTCCTTTGCTTCTGCTAGTCTAGAGGGAGTGCCACTGGCCTAGGACCCCGGCACTCTCCCCTTAAGGATAGGGCTTACCTTGTGGCTGGCCCAGCTTGGTTAGGTTTGTGAGAGCAGTGTTGCTCTTAGTATCTGTTCTCAGGGCAGCCTCTCCCTTCTAGCTGCCCAGTCTCAGGCCCTGGCTCTTCACCTCTCCAGTCACAGCTCATGGCTTTTGCTTATGTGTTTTGTTTTTGGGAAAGAATGTTAGTCATGCTAAAAATGGAAGACTGTTTCATCACTATTTTTCATATAAAAATGTGCATAAAATAATTTTTAAAATTAATTTCAGAATATTCAAAGAATTAAAGGCTTAATTGGGGAAAAGAAACATTGATATTACTTTTTCACACTCAAAATATATTTTTATGATATATGTGTAAAATCAAGTTAATGTTTTAATTTTAGAGCAAGAAGAAATCTTAGAGGTCATGTTTTTAATGCACTTAAAATTCTCAGGTGAGGTTCAGAGAGGCTAAATGACATAGCCTAGGTTATTTGGCTTGGTAGTGGCCAAGACTAAACTAGAGGCCATCAGATAGTACTGTAGATTCCCTGCCAAACCATGTTGCTCTCTTAATTACCCTAAATTATTAAGTTTTTTATTCAGTCTTCCTTATTTTATATATATATATATATATATATATATATATATATATATATATATATATATATATAGTAGGTCTTCAGGTTATGTTGGAGATCCGTTCCTACGGTGCAATGTAACGCGATTTTCGCTGTAAGTCGGAACCCACCTACATAAGCACCTACGTCACTCACATGGAGCACATACACAGCAGTAATGAAGTGAAACAGTAAAAAAAATTTAAAGGAAAGATAACAATTCCTGACCTTTACTTGTGGTAAATAAATAATAAAAAACATAAAGCACATCGAAATGACGGAACTGACGGAACTTTTTTTTTTTTAATAAATAAATGGGAGATGCATGAAATGACATACATCGAGTCCGACGTAACCCGAGGACTGCCTGTATTTTATTGATTTCAGAGAGGAAGAGAGAGGGAGAGAGAGATAGAAACATCAATGATGTGAGAGAATCATTGATTGGCTGCTTCCTGCATGCCCCACACTGGGGGTTGAGCCTACAACCCTGGCATATGTCCTGGCCCCGAATTGAACCCAGGACCTTTCATTCTGCAGGCTGACACTCTATCCGCTGAGCCAAACTGGCTAGGGCCAGTCTACCTTATTTTATTTATGGGAGTTTTTCACAGAATTTTATGTAGTCCTTACAGAATTAAAGAGAATTAAAATTCCTTTCCAAATTCTTTAGTGTTAAGTTAAAATTCTGACGATAGAGCTGCAGACCTGCCACCGTTCATGTAATAAAAAAATTATCATACAAGATTGCTGAACTAATAGGGTGAATTTTTCATTTAAAACAGACTTAAAAAGGAATTAGAACTTTATAAGGAAGATGACATGCAAAGTGTTTACGAAGCTCTCCAAACAGAAATAGAATTTTTGGAGTTGGTAAGCCATCATTGATTCTTTAACTTCTGATTACCAGTAGTAACATGGTACACATGTTATTGCATTGGTTTTTGCTGTTCACATGGATTTGTACTAGATATAAAAAAAAACCAAAGCAGCAATAACCAAAAAAACTGAGGTCAGGATGTAAATCTGTGAAGAGTTTTGAGTTCTTAGAGCGAGGTGCTACATACAGTAAGTTATATTCAAAGAGAATGTGTATAATTTCAAACTCAGTTAAAAAAGAATTCAAACTTGACCACACAACATTCCCTTGATGGAAACTGTTATTAGAGGACTCATGCACTAAAGGGGTTTAATTATCATGATGCTAAAAGCTTTTTGTTTTTGATAAACATAAATTATACTTTTATTTTATTTGATCCTAAAACTTTCTCATTAGAGATTTTTATGATCTCAAGAACTTTGGATTCAATTATTGAAAATTTATTTTCAGACTGTTTTGGAGCACTTCAAATTGCTTTTAACCTTCTTTGGTTGTTTATGAAACAAACACAGTATTTGTCATGGTCTATTTTAATTGGACACCTGTATAGCTAGCTTTAAAGCATGTTAAAGTATAAATTTATTTTAATATGTTACATTTCGTTTCATGTTTACTTTCTGTAAATGTTTTTTGTTTACAAATGCTCTGGTAGGTTATGTCAGGATTTATATTTTATATTAAAACTTATTAAAATAAAATTTAGAAATGCCCAGACTTATTATGGTGTTAAATTTACATAAATTGTATATAATCCCTTTATTAAGAATTTCACTTTCCTTGTGAGTAACTATTAATATTTTTTCCTTTCAGACATTGGCACAGAAAGATCTTCAGGGAAATAAATAACGTGTAGAGAATTGATGAGCTACCTGAGATTTGATCAAAGCATCTTAGAAGCAAATTTTTGTGATAGATAATGAATGAGACCCATTACAGTAGATTCTTGTGGAGAATGTGAGGTTCAGAATGTTCAGAGTTGTTGATGTCTAGAATTGGTTCGGACCAATGTATATTTTTGGTCTTATTATTTGCTGGAACTTTAAGGGTTCTCATGTGGTTTTTTGATTTTGTTTCTAAAGGAAGAAAAAGGAGCAGTAGTGTGTGCTCAGTTTCTGAGATCCCCCTGACCCTTAAGCTAATCTGTACTTTCTGCTGTTGTTTATTCTCTGTTGCAGCTTGCCTTGGGTCAAGTCAAACACACATAGGAAGAAGCATTCGGATTATTGACCCAATTTAGTTAGTGCCATTTCCACCTACAAAGTGCTCACTTTCATTTCAGTCTTTCTCCACTCACACGATGTAGTTGACAGAGGTCCTCTGAGGTCTTCTATCTGCAAAAGCCAGTTTTCTCCACGTTTCTCTGGACGTGTCTGAGTTAAGTCCGGGGCACTTGCAGCCCTTATCCAGCACGTTGGGCCTGCCAGTTTTCTTCCTAATGCCCATTTGGGTTAGAATGAAATAAGTCATCCACTTGGGAGGTACGTAATCTTACGGCCATCAGGATTCATTTTCGCTGGTGGCCTGAAACACTGCAACTGAAGACAGTGTACTTACATTTGAATCAAACTTGGTATTGCCACCAGATTTCTAACATCACATATATTTCTGCTGTTAACAATCCTGACTAGGAAGAAAGGTGTATTTTCAGTAGTTTCAAAAAAAGTGTATTAAAACTGTTCAATAAGGCCCTAGATTGCAATAGATGGGGAAATGGAACAAAACCTATTTGGGGTATATTTCAAAGTACTGAGCGCAAATATGAGAATCATGCTTTCTTTTGTAGTGATAGTTGAATTAGTTTAACATCAAATGTGAGATGTTTACAAATGTCTTATATGTGCTGATGTTAAAGTAGAGTACTTAGGTCTAGTTTCACAGAGAGTCTTACTTTGGCAGAGCTTTTTTGTATATGTTGATTTACACCCTTATTTTTTAAAAATTAGCAAAGCTAAAAGTCTCCTTTGAGATGTGTCCCAATTGCCATCTCTTTACATAATTTGCATTTTCAGATGTGATTTCTATTTTGATTTTTTCAATATTTAATAAATTATTTTTGCTTAAGAAGAAAAAAATGAAAGGTACCAGGGAATTGCAGTCCACTTTATATGCAAATATAGAGTGGGAAATAGTTATTGGGATTAGCTCTGACTTCAGTTCTGTCTCATTTTAATCCATTTATTTACATTCTAAGTTCTAAGACTTGTGAATATTATTAAATATGTATATTAACATGTAGATTGAGCTTACACATAAAGCCTTTTTAGTAATTTTTATTATTGTTTTATAACTAAAATATTGTGAACTAAAGATCTGCCATTTATTTGCATAACTAACACAGTGGCATATATGCAGAATAAACTCTTACTGATAATATCAACTGTATTTTTTTGTGTGCGTCAGAGTATCTGAATTAGATATTCAGTAATAGAATCAGGATGAATATGAATTAAATTTGAGGAAAAAAAGGGAGGTTCAGTATTTTCATTATTTCAAAATGCTGAAATTGCATATTTAAGATTTAAACTAATTTTCAAACAATCAAATAAATGATTATTTTAGCACTGCATGGTAGAGTAATACAAAGCACTACATGTGATACCAATCAAAATAATGGACTGTTAGAATCAATGTAATCAATGGAACAAGCTCACTGAACAAAGAAAATATAGCAATCAATAGAAATTAGTGTATGAACCCAAACTGCACTGTCAATATAAAATATCAGCAAAACAGTAGGTGAATTTTTACGTTTTTAAGAATTAGTAATTCATAAAACTTTTAAGTAGGGAAATAACAGAAATTATCTGGGTCAGAATGTGTCTCAGAGTGACCTCAATTGTTCTAGAAGTAGTCTTTTGCTCTACAGAAATGCAGTACACACACACACACACACACACACACACACACATATATATGCCTAAGTGACCATTATGACTGGTCAACCAGTCACTATGACGCACACTGCCACCAGGGGGCTGGTGCTCAATGCAGGAGCTGCCCCCTGGTGGTCAGTGCACTCCCACAGTCAACCTCCTGTGGCTGGCCAACCTCTTGCGGTCCCTATCCCCCCTCAATGGGCGAGATGCCCCGATTGGCTCGACTGGCCGGCCAGGCCAAGGGACCCCACCCATGCACGAATTCGTGCACCGGGCCTCTAGTTCTTAAATAAATGCTCATTCACTGAATTTTTCCAATTCTTAGTTGTAACCAAAGCTCAAACTACCCCAGAGTAATCCTGATGCTGCTCTGAGGTTCCTGGCAGCATCATCATTCTTCATGGTAACAGGCTTTTTCAGAAGCAACTTTCTAACTCCCAGTTCTCTGCTGGGGGTAATATTAGGATGTTTAGATAGTTTGCTGCATATTGTTCCTGCTGATTAATGGAGCTATTTGGCCAGGGGAAAACCAGCAGCAAAATTATAGGATGTGGAGCATGACCAGTGGACTGGAAATCCCTTTCTTTCTTCCCTGGTCTAATTATTGAGACGGGAGGAAACAGCAAAGAAAAAGAAAAGCTATAAGATATGTGCAGTCAGGAAGATTTCTGTACTATTCATTGTTTTGTCAGTAGTAGTGTGTTCTTCTGAAAAAGAAACCAAAATTGAGAGCATTTTGTCTGCTTGTTTTTCCCCCCTTAAACTTTACAAAATGTATTGAGATTCCTAAAAGTCCAAAATAAGGTTGAAGTCATTGTATTGTAATGAGTTGGGATCTAGAAACATTTTAAAACAGTATCAGTTGGGATTGGTAGTTTCTTGTAGAATGGGAATTATGCCGTGAAGAACCTGTTGAGTCTCTTATCAGCGGGGCAGTCGGTAGTTCAGCTGGCTGGCTGCAGATGGACAGGCAGCCTGCACCAGACAGGCCTGTTGTAAGCCGATGCTGAGGACAAAGTCCCTTTCTGCTTCAGGTCAATCAATCATACATAACTGTGCCACATTATTATGAATAGGTCATTTATCTGCAGTCCAGAAAACAGTAGCAGTTCAGTGACGTGATTAGAAATATGATAGGATTTTGGGGGAGGGGTTAACCCTCACTAGAGGATATTTTGTCCATTGATTTTAGAGAGAGTGAAAGGGAGGGGAAAGAAGAGAGAGAGAGAGAGAGAGAGAGAGAGAGAGAGAGAGATGTGAGATGTGAGAGAACCATATCAATGGGTTGCCAACTGGGCAGGAACTTGCAACCCAGGTGGGCGGGAACTTGCAACCCAGGTACAAGCTCTTGACTGGAATGGAATCCATGACCCTTCGGTTTGCTGGCTGGTGCTCTAATCCAGCGGTTCTCAACCTGTGGGTCGCGACCCCTGAAATACATCCTGCATATCAGATATTTACATTACGATTCATAACAGTAGCAAAATTACTGTTATGAAGTAGCAACGAAAACAATTTTATGGTTGGGGGTCACCACAACATGAGGAACTGTATTAAAGGCTCGCGGCATTAGGAAGGGTGAGAACCACTCACTTAGTTACGCTGGCCAGGACTATGATATGATTTTTAAACCTGGGTGGACAGGGTAAGGTGTTCTGTCACTCAAATATTTATTTCTAGTATGAATTTTGAAATCCGAAGGTGTTCAATATACTGAAAAGTATTTTAATATTTGAAACCGATGTATTTTAGGTCAACTTTTATGTTTGTTCTCCACTCCTCTCCTTTGTCATCCTGAAAAACGTAAATGAAGCAAATGCATTTTCCTTTCGGAGTCTAGTTCAGAACATTTTCTGTTGAGGGAATTGTTTTCAGGATGTGAACTAAAAATGAAAAATATTTTTTGTCATTCGCCTGAAGCAGGGATTAAGTCTTGGAGGTTTGTGGCCCTTTTATCTTAAGATAACAGAACTATTTATTTATTTATTTATTTAATGAAAGAACGGGCAGGATGAAGTTACCTTTGAAAATGTTGGAGGTAGGAATGCATAGTTAGTTGCATTTGTGCTTCCTATACATTATATTTTCAAGTTAAATAAGGTTTTTGCTTGGCCTGGTTATGATGAAATCATCAGCCCAGTGAAGAAGCTTTACTTTTTATTTGCTTTACTGACATTTGACAAAAATGACATCTTGAGATAGCGTTGATCAATATATGAAGGAAGTAATTTGATAGCTCTCCCAGTTCTAGGAGGGAGAACCTGGATTTCATTCGTTTGTTGTTCATTGTACTGAGGGTCACATTCTCTACACATGAGGGCAAGTTTTGCAAGGTAATGCTAGTTGTAAGAACACATTTACTTAGATTGGAGGAAAAAAAGAAAGGATAACAAAGAAAGCCGTGACGGATGGTAAAATGCTCTCTTTAGCTGTTGCTTGAAAAGTATCTAGAGCAAAACTGTCAGAGCCAAATGCTTATTTAAACAACTGCTTTTGATACATAGCGAATTTATCTTTAAAAGACTGTCATGAAATTGACAGCGCCAGAATTCAGTTGTCTGGGAAAATAAAGAGCAAGTCAAAATGTGAAATTAATAACAATGGCCCATGTAAGTGGCTGTGCAAAATGAGGCCTATTGAGTGGGAGAAAAATTATTTTGTTTTCTTCTTACCGCCAAAAGAGCTAAACTACTTTATAACCCTAAGTTAATTATTTTCATACTTGTAATAAATTGTCTTTCTAATTAGTGGGTAAATAAAATCTTGTTAAAATAAAATCCTCTTAATCTACATTTAATAGATGCAAATACAATTGCTAATGAATATTTCTGGATATGGCCTTGTGATTGCTGAGAAGGAAGTATTTGCAAATTCCAACCACCATTAAATGGTGTGGTTGTTGACAGCTTTTGTTGACTTTAGACAAAGAAGTTCCTGGTTGGGAATGGGTGACCTGGGAGTAATCATAGG